TCAGATCTTAGACAACTTATAGTACCTTCTTCCTCCAAGTATTTAGTATGTAGTTAGTACAGACAGATTCCTTCAAATTTATATCAAAAGTTTCAGAATCAATAAAGAGCACAGCATATAGGCGACCCTTTTCTCACTGTGACTGACGTGACAGTAATCGGACACAGGTATATTTCTAAAAAAATCATTTTTAAATTGTCTGAAGTTTACAGCAAATATCAACACAGTTTTTACTATTTTAATTTTTATTAAAACCAATGAACTAACAATTAAACACATATTATAAACAATCAATTCCAATTATAATTCATTGGAATTGAAAAATTTATCGTGACTGACGTGACAACTAGTCACGTCAACTTACAGTTTAGTACAAACAGTTAAAATATTGTAAGGTAATCATAACAGTTAGAATTCTTACATTGCATTAATTATACTATTGAAAAGAATATTAAACAACAAACCTATCTGAAAATTATACAATACAACATTTTATTTTTTTACCATTTGCACACAAAAAAAACATTTTTCAATCATTTACCCAAAACCAGGAAAGATGGTTTTTATGAGCATTTACCTATACTGGAGGATTGAGCCTCTTCTTAATTTGATCAGCAAAGTAAAGAAATCTATCTTCATGAGTTGGCCATTTCCAAAACCTAGCTAGCTACCAGCCCTGATCATACAAGAAAATTCCAATCCCTTATCTCTTACTGCTTTTACTTCCCCTGGATACAAGGCACCTGAATATATTCAGTCGCTGCTTAAATTTAAGCTCTGCCTAGAAGGTTCAAGACATCTTAAATCTCCTAAGTTTATCTTAGTTAAATTAATCTTAAAATTGGTTTCTCAGTCATTGCAAAACTTAAATTAGATCATAGGTTATAGGCCATCAGACCTTATAATGGCTGCCATTTCTTAATTTTCCTCCACTTCAAATTTTATGACTGTTGAAAATAAACAAAACACTTGCTAAATGTTTGTGTTTTGGCTTAAGTAGGTCAGTTGTTGATATGCACTGGGTCTACCTTTAAAAAGATACATTTTAGTAATTTTCTCCTTGGAAATGACCATTGTTGTAAACTTGTAATTAACTTTGTTGTGAGCTAGCAGACAACTTGTGTGTCATTGTGTGCGTACACAAACTGTTATATTGTCTTTTGACACTGTTTGTGCTTTGAAAACACCAAACGGATTTTATGGAATAAAAGTTCATCATTAGGTCTGAATTCGGGGGATTTTGTGGCTGATTTTAGGCTCTGAATGGGATATCTTAATTTTAAGATGAGCTTTAAGCAAGGTCTGAGGTCATTTAAAGTTAAGACAAAGTTTGGCAGATATGTCTTAACTTTAAGATCCTAGATAGAAATAAAAACAATGTGTGACTGACGTGACACTTGACGTGACAGTTTTCAGTAGCATACTGTGTCCTGTCCTGATCAGAATTAAAGCTTTTATTTATTCATTCTGGTAGCTTATGGTCATTATTAGGAGAATCATGAGTATCTTCAAAAATGATAAAGGTGTATGTCAGATATGGAGAAAATTATAACTTTTCGTGACTGACGTGACACTAAATTAGCATGCTCACTATTCCGGTTATGTTTCTTACAGTATTTGAAAGCAGCCTCTCCAAATAATAGGCATTGATTCTGGTTAAACTAAAGATTACTTTGGCATATTTCACTTTTCCATTGATGAATTGTAGCTAGAATATTGGATGATCACTCTAGGCGCAAAATTTGTAGTAAAAATTAGAAAAATTTCACATTTAAATGAATTGCGGTGAAATTCGAAAATCAACACTGCCATGTCAGTAAAAATTTGTTTTCAAATAACTTAAATGAGTTTTCTTGCAGTTGCAAACATCTTTTGTCCTGAAATATTGTATTTCGATTTTACTTATATAGTCATGCACTCCAGCGTGGAATTGCCCTGTCTATCTATCTCTGTTTGTATGTCTGTCTTTCTGTGTCTGTCTCTCTCCCTGTCTCTGTCTCCCGGCTTCTCTCTCTGTCTCTCTCTCCCTATCTATCTATCACTCGCTGAGTACTATGTACGTGGACTGGTTTGTGCTTCGTGACAGCAACAATGAAAAGGGTGTTTAGCTTCGTAGGTTACACTGCACGTGGTAGTGCACGCATGCGTGTACGTGTCAACGTGAGTACGTTTACGTGCGCACGCGTGCTTGCGTGCAGGTGTGCGCGTGCGTCAGCGTGTGTGCGTGAGAAGGCGTCTCCTTCGAACTGATGCTGATGTTGATCAATTGAGCCTAACAAACGAAGACGGTGTTTTTTCTGTCCTGGCTTGGCCATTTGTTCGCGTACCTGGCAGCTACCTTTAGTGCATGCCCGTCCCTATTACGATAAATGAAGAAGATTGGGAAATGTAGAACTTAGCATCAGAGAGACGAGAGAGACGGGGAAGAACAAGAGACATGAGGAGACGAGGAAAGGAGGAGAAAAGAGTAGAGAGAGAGAAAGAAGAGAGAAGGAGAGAGAAGGAGCAGGAGAGAGGGCGAGAGAGAGAGAGCAGAGAGGAGGATCGCGGCAAGGGGGGCGGCGAGAGAGAGAGAGAGAGAGGAGAGAGCAGAAGAGAGAGCCGAGAGGAGGAGAGAGAGAGAGACGGATAGGGTGAGAGTTTGGAGAAGAGGTGAGTCGAGAGAAGTTTGGAGATATGGAGAGGGGCCTTAATCCTAGGTGAGATAGGGAGAGAAGGAGAAGAGTGGCGAAACGTAGAAAGAGCGATTGAGAAGAGATGAATAATATAATAGAAGAGAAGAGATCGAAAGAGAAAAGAAGAGAAGAGCAAGAACAGGTGTAGCTTTGACGCGATGAGGGGTAGGGAGATTGTGAGAGGAGGCAGAGAAGCGATCAGGGACTAGAAAAGAAGAAAAAGAGAAGATATGAGAGAGAAGAGAAGAGAAAGAGAACAGAAGAGAGAGAGAGTAGA